CGACGCTCTTCCGATATATATATGAGCCATGATTAAATGTACCATCCATGTCTAGACAAATGGAACTCTTGATCAAGTTTATGATGTAAAGCTGGATTTATAGCTATTTGTTTTATTAACAAATGTCAATGATTTTTAATAAGATTTCTCAATTCCAGAACCAAACCCGGAAGTTGTAGTTTCACTTCGGCTCTCTATCAGTTTTTCACACCATTAGGAGAAATTTAAAGCCTGCCTCAAAAACTTGAACATCAAATTGCAATCTTTAAAATTAGCTTGAGTAACTCATGATTCTTGGTCGATTCCTATAAAAATTCAAACTTACTGAGCATTTTTGCTGTTATAGAAATCTGTCAAACATTTCTCTACACTATTTGGCATCAATGCTAGTTTGAAAACATTCAGACCTTCCAACTGCCAGTGCCATGCCAGTAAGCTCTTGTAAGTGGATCACAGAGTCATTCATACTCTTATAGAAACTTTCCACTGTTATCAACCTGCTAGAAAAGTTTGATATTTCACGCCTTGGAAACACCCTTCACTTTTGGTTTAACCGGTCTGGTGCAAAAGCAGTTTTGGATCTACTTAAATCATACTCAGGTTTACTGCTTTTTCAAGTAGTGCTGCACAACAGTCATGTATCGCTTCCTGTTCATATGCTGCAGCCCACTGCAGTTCCTTTTGCCATTGTGTACAACCTTATATGACCTCTGAAATAAAGTAGAAATATTTGTCTCCTGCTAATATAAACCTTGACAGTTCTATTCACATGATGCAATGGGCAAGATAATTCCTCAAAATGGACACAGTGTATGCCATCTGCCCAGTTCAGCTGTTCAGCTGGCTATTTTTAATGTCACAGAAAAGCATGCCGTGTGCTTTCCACAGTCTCTCTCAACAGAATTTGGTGTTGTTTCTTTTTGCTGTTATCAAGGTGTGAGTAGTAAGGTGTGTGCTGTTTGCACGCTTTCATTTGTACACTTTTGTATCATCATAGCAACCTCTTTCATCAACTTGCTCTGAGTGTCCTTGGCTTAACAGACTGCTATGTTCCTCACACACTTCTTTTGAGATAAGGGCTGCACAAGATGAACATAGAATTTCTATTTAAATGGACTAACATACTGTTTGTTTAGAAGTTACTTACAGATTTAGCAAGCATAAGCTCTGGTAACTAACTTATTTTTATATACCAAATAGTTGGGAAAGAACTTTAGAACCATGTGCATATTGCAGTTTGTGCAAATGAGATACACTGTCCAGACTGAAGGACTCAATGGCTGACCAGTGGGGCTGCGCTCTACTCTGGCCAACCTAGCGCTATTGGTGGGGAGTGACCAGTTCCCACTCCTCAGGGGACATCCTTAACTTCCCTGCACCTCAAGAGGCACCTCGCCATTGGGAATACCTCTTATCCAACAATGAACTGACAGATACCCACTGATACTCATTGCTAAAATTACAAATACTCAAACGTTTGTCACATGATCAGGATTCTCCCTGACTTCGATGCACTCTATCTCCTCCCTTTCTCTTTCCCTCTCCCTTTCCCGCTCCCGCTCCCTCTCCCTCTCCCGCTCTTTACGCTTGGCCCGTTTCTTTTTCTTGTGTCTCTTTTTAGATGGCGGGAAGAAGGTCAGGAAGACCGGCAGGATGACAAAGCAGTGCAGAACGGTGCAACCTGCCGTGAGCAGGGAGCACTTAAACAGTGTGTAGGTCAGATTGGAAGGCACAAACACCAGGGGCATGATCCCGATCACAAAGCAGGATGTGTTCTGTAGGATGGCTGCCCCGTGCTCCTCCAGTGCCAACTTGATGCACTGCGTCCTAGTGTGCTCTGTGGCTAGCACAAAAGTGTACAGGTGTGGTGCACAGTGATCCATGGCAAAGTTAAGGGTATAAATAAGGCACAGGATTGAGATGCTGTCCATGCCAACATTCCAGAGGGTCATCAAACCCAAGACACCCAGCTCCACAGATGTTACGGTAAGGATGAGCCAGAAGTTCCCCAAAGGGTTGATGACTAGGAAGAAAGTGAGGATGAGGATTGTGAGTACGCTGAAGCCTGAGGTCAGGATGGGTGAGATGACAGAGGAGCTGTAGCGGTCCATGAACACAAACGTAGGATTGAATGCAATGAACTTGATGCTGTTAATCAGCATCAATGGACGAAGCTTTTCCAGAAGCTCCACCACCTCTTCACGCTTCTTCTCTGTTGTTCGTGCCACCAAGTACATCCGTGAGGCGATGATGTCGTACTCATCAGTCTCACGGTTCTTGGAGAATATTATGTCCTCAGTAAAATGCTGGTACTCTGGGCTGCGCAGAAAGGAGCCCTTGAGGATGGTGATGAAGTCGCTCTTGGTTGATGCACTCACATTCACTACCCGCAGGTAGTGGAAAAAGTTGTCCATCCAAGAGATCTTGTTGAAGCCATGACTCAGAGTCTTTAGGTGCTCCTGCACTGTGGAGTTCCAGTACTCAATGGGCTCATAAATGTAAAATCCAATCACAGGACTGTAGTTACTGAAGTATTTCTGCTGGGTCAGAGCATATGAAACACTTGGAGAGTTACTAGCCAGCAGGTTGACAATATTTGATCCATCACTGATTTGTAAACATCCCATGAATGAGAAAGAGGCATATATGAGATATAGAATAACCACAAAGGGTTTGACATAGGTGTTGGTAATCCATTCCGTATAGTGCTCACGCAGGAAGTGCTGGATGAAGTGATTCTGGTAAGGGACGCTGTCGTGGTGTGTGGACAAGTCATGGCCATCACTCATCATGGTCTTAAACCACGTGGGCTGGCGGTCCAGGTACTCAACTGAGGGGATTTTACAACAGAAAACACTGTGGTAGCGGTTCTGCTCCAACTGTCCGGCAAACACCAGGCAGGAGCCATAGAAAGAGAAAACATAGAAGTAGTTGACCAGGATGGCAACGCACATGCTCTGGCAGAAAATTTTTACAGACTCAATGTTCGTAAAAGGGCTGGCTCCCATGCCAAAGGTGATGATGTAAAGTGAGCTGGTCATGGTGTAGCACACCATCACATCTGCAAAAGCGTCCGCTACACGCTCCTTGAAGGGAAGATTTTCCCTTGTTCTCCTCCATCCTGCCAGCAGCTCGAACACCCCTTTGGTTCCATGGCCTAGAAGAAAAGAGAGAGAATTCGGTAAGAATTGTGTTTGCACTGAAGTGTTAGCACCGTGTATATCAAACATGACGTGGTCTGAAAAATTGTTCTATTTGCATTACATAATCATTCCTAGGAAGTGAAGAGGCTGCAGAAGGATTTCAGAGGCAAAAATGTTTTGTTCTGCTGAGTAATGTCTTTATTACAATACTCCACATTCCTAAAACTCAAGTTTTGTGAACTGAACTGCTATACCATATCTAAACTGCAAAACATAATTTTATCGAGCAGCATCACACACATACTATACATTCTTATATTACCAACTATGGACTATGACTCTGCACCAACCAAGTGTGACCTCTATTTCTGGTCTTTAAATAAAATAGTATAGAAAATATTCTTGTACATTGTGCATAATGTAAGGTCTTTCTCCATAATACTACTGTCACTGTGCTTTTTGAAACTTTTAGAAAGAAGAAAAAAAAAGAAAAGAAAAGAAGAAAAACTGCCAAGAGAGGACTTGCATCCTCATTGTGATGTGCCATCACAATAACTGTGCTGAAATTAATGTCATTTGGGTGTTCTGGTAGCCTAATGGTTAAGGCAAATACCACATAACCACAATGTGCCTGGTCTTATTTCAGCAGGTGACCTTTGTTGCATGTCACATCCCTCTCTCTATCCAATATTATTGCTTCAATGAAGACAAAAAAGTAATAATAATAATAATAATAATAATGAATAAAAATATGTAATTTTAAAAATTATGTCATCATTTCCTAAAAGATTCATTTGCAAGAAGCACTGCTCAATACACAAAAGTATGCACCAAAGCAAGCTCCAAACGTTGACTCTGAAAAGCAGGAAACCACATCTTTTCAGCATCATAACACCCACAACAGGACTTGTTGTACTTTTATATTAATAGTAATACTAAACTTTATTTATATAGCACAGTGATATATAAATGTGTTTTGAAAGGTGCTAATGCCTAAATTTGAGTACTTATGTCAATTCTGGTACACTGACAGCAAGTCTACCGGAGTCAAATTCCTTGTATGTACACACATACTTGGAGAATAAAGCTGATTCTGATGTGCAAAGACTCTGGAACAACGAAAATTGGAGAGAAGCACACAATACACACAGTGCCTGCCTGCAGGCCACAGAGCCGTGCCCCCAAACAAACCCACTTAGAGTAGAGCTGGAGCAGAGGCTGCGGAGACGCAAATTACCCTTGTTTGGACTGCCAAAGGAAGAGGAGACGAAGAATTAGTGGTTGGAATTAGGCGTTAGGCGTCTTGGTGTGCTGCTTGTTAAAAGCCAGCAGATGAAATTGAGTTTATTTAACTCAGTTAACGGTACCCCACAAAAACTGTTAATGATTTATTTGTAGTATTCTCCCAGCTAAACCCAGTAACATTACAGTTCAACATTTAGTGAGTGCGTGTTGATAAGAGTGTTTTTTTGGTTAAGGTCAATGTTTATAGGCCATTTTTTGCATAAAGGTACTGTTCATGTCATTGTCAATCACAGCCTTCAAAAACATCTTTTAGAATGACTCTTTCTCTCTCTTTCAAAAAGGTAACAATACTGAGTGCTGCATCATTTCATGTGCACCCAACACAAAGCCACAGAAGTGAGTATTAGTTACTTTTCTGTTGCTGTTTAGTGTAAAATAATACAGCAGATTTTTCTTTTTACATCTAAACTAACTAAAGGAAATAGCATATTTTCAGATAACTGTAAAGGTGCTGTTTCTCTTGTTATTTTTCTCAGTAGCCTACACTAGTGATGGCCAAAGGAAGCCTCATGAATCATTTTCTTTATTTTCTGAGCCCACTAGATGCCGCCTTTTGTTCAACAAAAGGTTTAAAACACACTGAATTGCCATTCTTTGAGCCTCTCTCCTTGAACCAACAGTGCCATCTAGTGGGCTCAGAAAATAAAGAAAATGCTTCACGAGGCTTCATTCGGCCATCACTATTTAAAACACATTGAACTGCCATTCTTTGAGCCTCTCTCTTTAAACCAAGAGTGCCATCTAGTGGCCATAACACTGTTCATTATGACCAACTCTATGGTCTTAGCCACTCTCTGCCCCTATGTTGGCCATAGCTGTAACAAATCATAACTAGTTTTAAACATTAGAGTTAAGAGTTGATGTAGTTTATCATTCTTAATTATTATAGATAATACCAGTGTGCTGTTCCAAGAACATCACTTATTAGAGAGTGGATGTTACCGGGGCAAATTTATATTCAAACACTGTCAGGTTGTCTCTTACATAGTGATCAGAGTACATGCTACATATAAACTGTCTAACACACAAGGACTTATAATGAATAATGGCTCGCGTACATTTTACACCTTACCTCCATTATGTAAGGACTGCTGCAGGAGCTTTTTCACTGTTGCACTATCCTCACTTGGCAGCTTTTGTTCCTTCACCCATACCGGGATTTGGACTTTTCTGAGTAAGGAGACTGCTGCACTAAGCACTGTAAGCTATACACTGAGTATTGTTTTTATATTGTGGTTTCTCATGTCAACCATTTTTACCATAATTTATACTTGTTACTAAACTAACAGTATGTTACACTGGAAATTCAACTACCTCTTTTCATTTTGCAAACTTGTCTTGTAACGGTTAGGTTCAACTTTTCCTTGATCCACAGCTTTACTGTCACATTATTTAATTAACTGCTTTTATCACATAGTTTCATATATCTTCCTGGTGTTGATGATGAATGATAACACCATTGAAATTTAGCAGTTTTACACAAAGATCATGTCGAGTTTGTTGATGGTTTTTATGATGCGTATCTGTTCTAAATTTTAACAATAGCCAACATGTATAGTATTGTAATAATGCAGAAACACATTGATGGCTTTGCTAGAATTTGTAATTAATTACAATACAATTTCTAGATTAGCTTTAATCAACAACATAAATGACAAATGTTGCCGTCCTTGAATATTTGACAATGAAGGATAATACAAAAAATATTACATTTTGTGCTTTCTGGTATATTTTTTCTGACATTTATTATGACACTGCAAAACACTAATTTCACCAAACTGTCCTATTCAGGTCGGTGTACTTTTTCAGTTATTCATTATTCTATTTGGGGAAGAAAGATCAGATTTCCGAAAGAGTGCAGTTTCTGTTTTAGTTAGAAAGGAAAAAAAGCAGAAATTGCTTTATCTTGCTTTCATGGTTTATTGTTCTCATGAAAAATAGAGTGTTGGACAACTTTTTTGTCATTTTTGATTTTCTAACATTTTTTGTTTGTTTATTGTTTTTTATTTGACTTATTCTTTTCTGACCTGGATGTACATGAACACTGCTGTGCGCATTCATCCCCAGACCCCAACTCATCTACTTGCCTTTTTACCTTTTTTCTACCTATCTGATTTTGTACAATACATTTTGTATCAAGGCCAAAAACGGGTCAGTCTTCGCTAGGAAGATATGACTACGGAGAAGATTGGTACTATTTTCCAACTAAGTTTTAATATGTTTTTATTGTTGTTCTAAAACCTCTCTTTTCTTAGACCGCATTTGCTAGTACTTGCTAACATTAATGTTAGCATTGCTGTCGTTCATAATTTGCATAGCTAGCAGCTAGGTACAATTGGGCTTTCCCTCTCGAAATTTCATTAATTTAATGCAAGCTGTCTATGTAACAAAGAGTGGAAGAAATTAACGTTACTGAGATATGTGACCTTGTATGGCAAAACCGGTTGCACTGGTCAAGTTTTCAAAATTAAGTTATTGCAAGAAAGACCATCAGCTGTAGCACTAATTCTGATCTAGTATGTGTATGGCTGAAATTATCATGGATTGAAACGTGGGTATATCTCTAAGTGGACCATAAAAGGTAAAAGTTTTTTATTTGGGTATGACTCTGGCTGACATTTTGCCAGGGTAGGTTTACTCAGTTGATAGGCGGATTGCCAACCTACTATTCTATTCCGCCATTTAAGCCTAAGTGATATTTTTGGAGCACATTAAAATATTCTACACTGTTTTTATATGAAATACAGGTGGACTTTTGACATAGCTGTTTACTTACCAGAAATGCATGCTTTACAAGTTTGCATGCAATTTTCTTTTATTTAAAGTCCAACCATAGCCAGCAGCATCTTGTGATAACATTCCACAAATGAGCCGCATATCTTGCTAATTTATAAACAATGCATTGCCATCAGTGGGCTATGCATAGCATAGCATCTATCGTGAAATATTACAGGCAGCACATTTATACACCGTGAAGGAGAATGAAACGTCTGCTTAATTTGCAATGAAATGGTGGCAGTCATGAATAGTAAAATCATATAGCCTACCTCAATACGGTTCTAAAAGTGAAACAAAACTTGTCGTGCATCCCCTAGTTGGAAGCTTCCTTCAAGTTAATGTACTCTTTACTAATGCAATTCAATCCATCTTTAATAATTGATCAAAATTATTCATATTGTAATGTAATTGTAAGAGTGACAGAAGTTGATGAGTATATCCAATTCACCCTTTGCTAAGGCCCGCCCCCCTTAGTTACTGTTGCTAAGATTCAGATTCAGATTCAGTTCATTTATTGGTCTCCTTAGAGAAATTTGACTTGGAGCTAGGGGTCAGCATACACATACATACAATCAACATATAGTCACCAACATAAAATACACACATTTCAACACATAGTCACCCAGTTACCTCAGTGCATCAAATGAAATACATAATACATACATCAGATACACTCCTCATTAATCAATTTAATCAACAACGGAATAAACAAGTTTTTGTACCTGTTATACCTGCATCGTGGTACTCTGTACCTTCTTCCTAAATGCAATAACTCATATTCAGAATTCAGTTCATGGTCAGTATCAGACACGATTTTACGAACTTATCACTGATTGTTCAAAAATGACTTGAGGAGTGATCAGGGGTGTGGACACACCCATTATCTTCCGCGGACTGGGTCAATTGCACACTGCAGATTTATTTTTTCAAA